GGGGGGGGGGCGGTCGTTAAATGATGGCAATGAAACGTCGACTTCTAGGAGGAGGAGGTGCTCATTGAAACCGGGCCGGAAGGATAACTACCAGGGCCAGTCCAAGGAGTGCCCGCAGCCGGTCCGCGGGCTCACCCCCAGCTCACCGACACGTGCCTTCTCTCGCCATGCCCCGCCACGCCCCGCCACGCCCTGGGCATCTGCGCGAGTCACGTCACCGGGGTGCTCTGCTGTCCGGATCGAGATCTTTCACCTCAATTCCTTTTCTTTGAAAAACATCTGTGAACCTTGAGTATCTTTGTGGCTCTGGACAGATGGTGTGGTGAACCCTCACACCGACACACCGTTCTTGCTGTTCTCGCAGTGAGCGTCTGGACCACTACCGACGCGCGTGTTGCTCATCGAGAGCAGAACATTTTTGACTCCTGTTGGCCAGCCGTGGCAAAGTTTCGACATTTTCACGACCAGAGTAGTCTTGTTCTTGTTCTTCAAAGAATTATATAACATTTTCGTTTGAAAAACTTAGATCGAAGAAGTAGCCCAGCATGGACCCGCGCGCGTTTCGCCGATTAATCTATTTTCCTTTTTTAAAATCTTTTCTTCGAGGCGAACAACGGTCACCTGTCAAAGTCTAAGAGTTCAGCATGAACGCGTTCTGATTCGAAACCGGGTCCTGGTGGTCCTGGTGGTCCTGGTGGCAGCGTGCGCTAGCAGGAGTCGTCCGGACCGGACCGCGCCAAGGCGCCCGCCCGGCGCCCGCCTCTTCCGAGACGAGGGTCACCGATCGAAAATGATTCCGGGCGCTTCACGCTAACGCATACCTTTTTCTAAGCCTCGCGGCCGTTTCGTTTCCGGACAGCTGGCGCACCGTCGTGGTACAGAAGGAGGACGTTTTAACGAATAACTTCGTCGAAAACTCAAACTGGTAAACTAGTTGGAATAATTGAGCAGTATGCGCCCGAGTTAGCCAGCCGCTAGAGCGGCGTGCCAATTAGAGTGATAACGATGCGAATCTTGGGAAGTATAGTGATAAACCGCTTCCAGTTTTTCGGTACACTGGCCAGGCCGGGTAAGAGCGAGGCGCGACCTTCACCGAGCCAATCTAGTCGATAATACCGGCGGACTTTTGCAAACAACAACACCATTAAATCGGATTCAACAAATTTCACCTCCTCAAGAAAATAATAAAAAATTAAAAAAGGACGGCAGTGGTGGGCCCATTCCCTCCTCCCGACCTGCTTACGTCGCGCTACTCCCCGACTTTTGACGTCAGGTTCGGCCTTTCCGGCGTTCGGGTCGGACCCCACCGTGTCCCGCTGGCCGAACAACTAACTGGTTTCTCGGAGCAGAGAGCAGGAGGGAGTGAGTGCGCGCGCGACTCTGTGTATGCATACGCGCGCGCGGGCCGCCCGGGCCGCCCGGGGCGGGCGAGGGGAGCCCCCATACGAGCGAGCCGAGCGTCACCGCCGTCCCTGCTGCTCATGCTCCCCTCCCAGTTTACTCACCGGTGTGCGTGGGGTACTTCCCCGTCATGAGGGAGGCCCGGGACGGCGTGCACAGCGCCGGCACGTAGTGCTGGTTCAGGATGACGCCGTTGTACGCGAGCGCGTCGATGTTGGGCGTCGGGATCTGGTCCGAGCCGTGGAAGCTCACGTCGTTCCAGCCCTGCAAGCACCAGCAAGGAGAGTTGGGGTTCAGACACTGTGCGTCTGCAATGTTCTAAAACCGTTTGCCAGCTTTTCCTCGATCTAAAATAATTTTTCTTTACAAAATATGTTGTAAATTTGCGACAGCCTTTGATTGCTTCGTCAATCAATTTCAAGCCGAAACGAGGTGCTTGTAAATTTACATAGTGCCAAATTGAAATTTAAAGACACGACACATTACGGAAAATTTCCCCGTAAACCTATAAATTGCTTTTTCACAGAGGGGCGTTTTACTTCCAGGCCCTAAACAAATATCCTGAAGCAGAACCGAGCAGCTGAATGCTAGTTACGCGTGTGAGAGTGTTGGAAGGTGCGGAACGCCTGACGGCCGTGGGGTAGGCAGGCCTGTCACGCAGCGACGCGCGCGTGTTGCCTATCCCCATGGCCCGCCCGCCCTGCCGCCCGCATCACGCATAGGTACTCACCAAGTCATCGGCGAGGATGACCACGATGTGGGGCTTCCGTTGCTGCTGCTGTGTCAGCACCGAGCCGAACAGGGAGGCGGCCACCACAGCGGAAAGAACTACAAGAAAAAAAAAGACAGAGGAGAATTTAGCTGCGGGTATAACGTTCTCATTAAGTCAAGTTTGTATGCCGGACTAGGCAGGCACTCGGCAAGGATAAAGCAAGGTACGAAATGTTCGCGGCCCGGCGGCGGACTTCCGCACGTTCCGTTTGATGGACAGCCGGACTTGGTGGCCGAATCCGGTTGCGCAATAAACCTGCCTCACACAAAACTTGCCTGCCTAAATAGCTCTCACTCGCCAACTATTCGCACGGTCCGCTCGTCCGCCCGCCGGGTCGTGCGCTGCACCCATCGTGATCGAGCTGTTTTCGCGGGGTGGTCTCTGGTCGCACAGCGACAGCGGTCACTCATCAGACGCATCAGCAGCGGCGCGCTTCGTTGTTGTTGCATAACGTGCGCGAGAGCCGCCCCAAACAAACCAGGATGTTGTTCGTGATATCACGAAACAATTGGCTTGTCTGACGGTGTGCACACACGGAGGAACGGAGGGCACCATTGTCGTATAACAAGCACGATCGATCAGGCTTCGCGCGCTTTGCGCACCCAACGGCAAGAATTTTGAAAAGTTCAAATTTTGTGATTCGTCCGATACGATTGTTGTTCACCTTTCGTAAATCCACTAAAAACGAGCACTGAAAATGCAGGAGTCACGCGCGTCGCTCTTCCGATTTCGTTAATCCTGGGGGAGCGACGCTTTGCCTCCGTTGTGAGTGATGATTTTGGAACACTGCTTTATTTGAAGGAAATGTTCCATCCATATTCATCACTTGAGATGAGACACATCACTCTAGCAATTTCAGTGAAAACAAGCGCCAAAACGATTGTCGGGTCGGGACGTTCGCGCGGGAACATGACGCTATACTCGTTGTGCATCTTTATTCAGGCCGGTAAATAGTTTTGAAAGCTGTGCGGCGGCCGCGCGGCTGTCCGCTGCTGGAGGTCAAACGGGTGCGGCGGGTGGCGCTCTATCGACGGCAGGGGGGAGAGCAGCCAGGTGCTGCCCTGCCGGCGCCCTGCGCATAAGGACGCGCAAGGCTCGCCGCGGTCCGCGGAGGAGAGCAGCTCGCCGGGCTGATGCGGAGATAACGACGCGGTATATGGCCTGATCGTGACAATGGCGCGCGCGCGGCCCCCGCGGATGGGATGGGGGCAGGAGTGCCGACGATGCCGCGGCGTCTTCCAGACGAGGATAGAGTCATAGAGTACCCGCCGGTGGTACCCCTCGCACCGGCCGGACATGCATATCCGGCGTATTCTATGACACCGATCGTCCGATCGTGCTCCCTCCCCCTCTCTCCCTCCCTCCTCCCCCGGTATTATCTCACAACCTCGACCACGACCTCCCCGGGCACCTACGAGGCTACGAGTAAAGCGGACTAGCTGGCGCGGAGTCTCGTACGAAAGAGACAAGATTGTATGTGTGTCCCGCGGTGGAACCCGCCAGCCCCCATGCACCCTTTCCACTTCCACCCCTCTTTCACTCGGCTGACTCGAGCCCGGCTCGCCCCGCCCCCGCCGTACAGTCTCATGCTACTGTTGGCGGGAAGCCATCGAATCATGAGCGGCTCACGCGACACTCGCAAGTCATCAAAACGGCTGCGGCGGCGCAACTCACTCAAGCGGCGCACGAACGAATGACAAAATATGGGCATAGGATATAGGATCACGACACAGGACCACGATCGCGCGCCGGCAATTTCGCCAAAATTAACGTTCATCATCCACCGTTTGGTGCTGCAAAAGTGCTTCGCAGCAGGTGTCAGACTAACGAAAAAAATAATACATACAGATTACAAAAAAGGGAGTTGTAACCATTTTTTTCCAAGGGCAGTGTGACAAGGCTTACCACCCCTCCACTACTTTGTCGTTGACGCACTACTCGATTGCGCAGGCAACACTGCAGGTAGGTTGACCAGAGGCCTGACGTCGGCGGCCGCGGCGGCCCTTCGCTCACAGGGGCGGCCTCGCCGCCGCCGTCCTGTCCGCCGTTATTGTAATTGTCTTATCGCTTCGATACGAATGGGAATGGTTTCCAGGGGGGCTGGCGCGGCGGGCGCGGCGGGCGCGGCGGGCGCGGCGGGCGCGGCGGGCGGATGGGGAACGGCGTCATGACGCCTTTATCGGCGGAGCAGACGTATGCCGGCGGAGGGAAGGGTAGAGGTGGTTCAAATCACGACACTGCACGGGCGGTATGCAAGGGCAGCAGGCAGGGAGCGGAGGAGGTGGTGCTCGCCAGTGCTCGCAGGCGGTTGCTGCTAGCTCCTCCCCACCTCCGAGCAGCACCCAAACATATTGATCTACATTGCGAGGACCGTCCAGACAAGGGGGGCCCACATTGAGAAAGGGGGAGAGGGGAGGTGGGGGTGTCGACAGTGCAACTTTTTGTTTCAGATGAAGTAAACCAGGCCCTATGTCCTCCGGCAACTCTCTGCCTCCACGTGTGCGTGTCTAGCGCGGGAACCGCGTCACACGGTTCCCTCACAGTGAAAACAAAAACAAAAAAATCGAAATAGGGAGAGATACGGCAAAACCAAACAACAATGAGACAGGGACTTGTGGGATACTCTGCACAGCACTTCCAGAGGTAGACTGCGTGTGGGCGGGTGGCCTACTCGCGCGGGCCGTAAGGGCGCCACGGTCATGGTCAGAGACTGTACACAAGCAAACTCTGGAAGTGAGCAGACACCTACGACGCGGACTTGCTGGGACATTACGTGTTAACTCCATTCTTCGGATTGGTCGTTGCAATGGACAAAGGGAGGGGGGGCAAAAAAAACCACAAGGGGGGGGGGGGGGGGGGGGGGGGGGGGGGGGGGGGGGGGGGGGGGGGGGGGGGGGGGGGGGGGGGGGGGGGGGGGGGGGATAATGTGGGGAGGGGGTAACACGAGTGATAAGCAGTGATAAGGCGACTATGCACGAGCGCTGCTGCTGAGCCGTGCTGAGCGAGCGGACAGAGGAGAGCGGCACATCACATCCGCCTCATGTCATGTAGGTCCTGCTCTAATGCGTCATCGATGAGTCGTTAGACGCATGTCGATATCGACCAGCGCTGCCGCTGCATTCCTTCACGCACGCGACCGCGCGCTCCGGTCCGGTCCGACCAGCTGGAGGCGCTGGAGGCGCTGGAGGCGATGGAGGGGCTGGAGGCGCTGAAGGCGCTGGAAGGCGCTGGAAGGCGCTGGAAGGCGCTGGAGGCGCTGGAGGCACTGGAGGCGCTGGGGGCGCTGGAGGCGCTGGAGGCGGTCACGGTCTCGTCGGCACATAACCGCGTATCGTGTAATCATATTCGTCGACTTTGTCCCTAGCAGCGAACCGCGCTTATTTTTTGGAATGTATTTTCCGATACTTCCGACTTTCCTAATCCGCGAGGAAGGGCAACGTCAGGAACAGAGCAGTCGACGACGCGCGTAGTCCTCAAGCATACAGCTGCCTCAGCTTTTACGGCGCCACGTTCGAGAAGGTCCTTCCTCACGCCGTTCGCCCCCCACCCCCCTCCCCTGTGTGGCTGTTCTGGTGACCCACATGTTTGTTGCAGGCTTCTGCTCCGGGGTGGTGGGGACGATATATGTCATTGAATGTCACTTGAATTTGTGGGTTACGAAATGTCACTCCTCGATGCCAGATGCACACAAGAGACTTCAACGCGGGGAGCTGCGCCGAAGAAAGCTGCTAAACAATCTTCGATTAATCGATTTTTAGGTTCGGCCTTCATGTCTGCGCGACACAATTCAGGTCGTTGCCCACGAGAAACGCCTGGCCTGGCTCGGCTCCTCAACTGGTCTTCCCCTGCTGTCCCAGAGCCCGACCCCGACCCACGCAAACAAGACAAAAAAACAATTCCATACCGTGGTCAATGTCTCATTTATTGTACGAGAAACAAGCGGTGGAATGGTAGTAGTAAGGTCCTTCCCACCTTGGTCCTTCCCCACCCGGTCCTTCCACCCACCTGCACGATACCTGCTGACTTACTCCTCGCTCTGCCTTTTCTCATATTCACGTCGGTAGAGGGAGGAGGGCAAGGGGGGTAGAAGGGAGGAGAGGTAGGGGTCCTTGTTCCTGGTTCGTGATTGCACTCCTGAGTGGGGGCGGAAGCGCAAATGCAATTCTCCTGCTGCGATCAAAAGTATGCGAAAAACGACCTGGGTTATTTCAGAGGTTCAATACAAGTTGGGTTGCAGACGGCTAATTGTACACCGGACCGGACGCGGCTATTATTACCTCCTCATCGGCTGTAATGTTGATGATTTTAATTGCTGCGTGAGAGCTGCGCCGAGAGCAGCAGTGCTCATGCCGCCCATGACATCCCCCGCCCGCTTGCGCCCGCCACTCCCCCGCCCCCCCGCCGCCCGCCCGCGCACCCCTAGTGGGGCTCGTCCTCACACGGCCCGGCTAAACGCGAACAGGAGGACGTCCAGGGGGGCGCCGGCGGGCGCAGCCGCGGCCTTGGCGGCGCCGAGCAGAGACAGGCCGGACTTTTGTCTGTATTCGTGCTTGTGTGTGCGTGCGTGTAAATCCCCCCACACACACACACTCACACACACACTCGAATATAATCAGCAAGCTCTTGCGCGGCGTCGAGACGGCGGCCGGGCCTCAGGCCTCCCGATGACCGCGTGAATGACCGCCCATCATCCACCATCCGCATGTGAGACCGAATCCATTTCCCATTAGGCTGGCAGGGCGCATCAGCAGCGGCGCGCGATGGTTAGCTCTGCTTTGTTTTTTTAGGCGCGAGCGCGGGCAGCGGTAGGGAAGGTTCCGCGTGATTCGACGAGTTTCCTGATACACCCCGATGACCCGGGGACTGATCACTCAGAGCCTCCTCCAGCGCCGCGACGACGCTCCGTATAGAGAACCGGAGGTTCAGCGCCGTGTAATTTTGATGGTGCGGGACCGCAGCCCGCACCTTGCATGCCTCGGTTTGATCACGAGCGAGCTCGATTGCGAATTGATGCCGGGGGCAAATTGGTCATTGAGCGTCATCAGTATCGAGATTTCAGTTTGGCGTCACCATGTAATGCACCAATGCACGTTGATAGCGCAAACCCTGGGAGTGGAAGGGGAAAGAGCGTATGGGCCGGAGGGGGTGAAGCTAAATTTGTCTGAAATAGTGTACTTTATATCCTGATTGGTCACTAGGTTTCAAATCGTGCCGATAGTTGGTGGTAAGGCTCCACCAATCGGAAACGATTTTGTTTCATCCGCTATTTTTCTCCATCTATGTTGTCAGCTAAGTTAACGTTCTTGCGCGCGTTTACTTCAAAAACTTTAATCATTGTGATTAAAAACAAAAACATGGGTGATGTTTTTATGGCAGTGTGCGCGGACATCATCATGTACATTGTATCATCGGTAACACTCGAGAATAGCCATCTCTATTACCATACGACGCGTGCTTCGCGAGCGGGGGCCCATTAGCTGACACACAATACCGCACCGCACGCCCTCTGCGAGGAAAAGAGGTGGGGCGCAAATGTGGAAAAGTTACAACTGTAACAGCGACTGTAACAACTGCAGTGTGCCAATTTTCCAATTTTCAAGAATCCCCGGACGTCTCTGTGGCCACGTTCACGGTAAAATTTTCTTACGCGGAATATTTCCATCTTCAGATTGTTTTTTCCCCTGCTTGACGCCACTCTGACCTACTCCCCGTGTATCGCGTTGTCGCACTTTGCGTTTTACACTTTGCAGTAAAGGACGGCGCGGGCACGCGGCCAGCCCGCACTCCCGCAGGCCGACTGTGAGAAATGACTGTCAAACCGATATGTCAGAACGTTTGTTTCCTCGCAAAGACGTTTTCAACCCCCCGGTGAGCATCATTGTGATATCGTTATCGCACTTTTTTTTTTGCACTAGACGCCAAAGTAATATAGTTACCCCACCAGTAAAAAGTTTCCTGTCATTTTATCGTGAAATCCTAAAAGGCAGGGATATCCCTCCCAGAATACGAGGTCAACGTTGTCCAGGTCGCTGACAGCCCTTAACAGCTCATCCACCACCACCACCACCACCCCGCACTCTACTCACCGAGCTGCATCTTCGGTCCAGCCATGTTCACGCCGTCCTTCGTGTCCTCGACGAGCTCCGGTAGTCGCGGTCTCTTCCTCCTCTCTTCCTTGATCCTGCCGAGCTGCCGCTGACACGGCCGGGCGAGAGACTCGAAATGGTGCGAAAACGCTCCGGGCCTCCGGTAGTAGTGGTAGTCCACCTGGCCGGCAGCCGTCCCGGGGCAGGGCGGGGGCAGCAGAGGGGGGCGGCGCCACACCCCGCGAGGGGAGAAGGTGGGGGGGGCGCAGCGCGACTCCAGCCCCCCACCCCTTCCCGTGTTCCTTATCTCTCGGGAAACAACGACGTCCCGATGTCAACCGACTGGGCTGGAGCGGATCGCCCCCCCCCCCAGCCTATCACTTTGCAAGAGCAGAAGACGGGGAAAAGGGGGGGGGGACTCGCGCTCTCTTCTGTCTCTCATGCGGTCAGCAAGTGGGGGAGCCACTTGTCCCCACTCGAGTAGGTGTGTGTGTGTGATGCTGGGCCAGGCCCGCCGGGTCTCGGGCCCCCGTCGGACGCACTCGCCCCCCCCCCCCGGCCGGGCTTTTCTCAGTGATTCACGCAACCTGCTGCGGTAGGGGGCCCGGCGTGGTGGGGTCCCCCGCGATCCCCGCGCTGCAGGTCCAACGCATCGGCGGGTTTTTATTTCCGACCGCCGCTACGGCACGGGGCGGGGCCCACTGTGAACTGCGCGCAGGAAATGAGACGAGGGAAAGGGGTGGGGGCGTTTCACTTTGCGTGTGACCGGGATGTGACGAACCTTTCTCTCCGCGGGAGTTCCCGGAGAATAGGCCCCACGCGAGGGACACCCCCCTCCCCAACCGGTTTGAGGAGGTCCTGGACCTGCCCCAGCAGTCCGTCAGCCTAGGAGGTAGGCAGCCAGGCCCGCCCGCCGCGCGCGCCTGCCAGGCGGGAGTGCCTACCCAGCCCGGCTGACCACCCGCTCGCCTGCTCTCGCGGACGTGCAGCAAACCTGCAGCACCTGCTCGCGCTGGTCTCTGGTCCAACGCTCCGTCTCCGTCTCGAACGATCCCCGATCCGTTAGGGACAAGTTCTAGGGGGGGAATTTCCCTGTTCTCTCTCACGGTATCTGCAGCTGCGCTGAAGGTACAGAAGATTAAATGTTATATCAAGTTAAGCCAAGCCGAACGCGCAAGCCCAAGCCCAAGCCGAAACTCAAGCCCGATGCGACGAATTTTTCGGATTAAAGTAATGCCAGTAACACAGAATTCTTGCCCCAGTAGCACAAATGCACTTAAATACACACTAGCTGCGGCAATGCGCGTAAAAATGAACTCTGAAAACACTAAAAACATAACTTTAATCCGAAAAATCCGTCGCATCGGGCTTGAGTTTCGGCTTGGGCTTGGGCTTGCGCGTTCGGCTTGGCTTAACTTGATATAACAAAAGACAGCAGTCCCATCGGCCCTGTCCTTAAATTTAGACAGTGACAAGGTAGAAGTGTTCGCTCGGTTTTGAAGCAGAAGCGGTATTTTCCAGGCAAAAAGTATGAAAATTGGCATTTCTGCAATCACTTTTACCGTGTACAGTGCCACAGGCCAGGCTTACCTGCGGGCTTGACTACACCATCGCTCCATTGTGCCTTATGTAGCACCCACACGCATGAATACGGTACACAATACGGTAACCAATACAAAAAGAATAGAACGGGGTCCACGGAACACACTATATTTTGTATCGAGAATCGTCGATGTCCTAAGACTATGGTAGTAGGAGAGGAGAATATTGAATAAAAAATACATTTGCGGTATTTGCGTGTATTCATTGACACACGTGTGCCCGTACGGGCTTACAATTTGATAGATCATATATAATAATAATAATAATAAATAAATGTTCTCTATTTTTTACAATGGGGCAATGAGTTATAGACTAGAAATAAATTAAAACAATTATAGAATTTACACGAATAACAATGGCAAAGATTAACAGTGATCAGAAAAATATCACTAGCTTACTCAGATTCAGAAAATTCATTCTCTGAATCATGAAAAATCTCCTCTTGCCTAGCTCTTTGCATAGCCTTTGACTTGGCCATAGCTTCTGCTAGTAAAGACGCTCCAAAACCTAGTCTTGTATTTTCTGTCATTTTATCCTCTTTATCTATTGGATCATCAGACATCATCGGCTCCAAAGGTTTAATTGCCACTTCCTCTGGTCTTTTGCCTTTCATAGAACGATGAGTCTTCAAATTACCTTTCAATCTAGGCAGGGGCCAATTATTTTGGCTGTTTGTTGGAAGAAAATCCATTACTTCTTCAGTATTAGGTACAGTTTTACCTTCTTCGGCTTTGTATTCATGAGATGGAGAGTCCACTTGTTCAGGTGCTGTGTATGGAATGCCTTTACTTTCCATGGCCCTCTTTTCCCTCTCCTTCCATTCTTCTGCCTTTTTTACCAATACAGTTTTGAGTTCTTCAAGAACTATTTTGGAAGTCTCACCCTCTTTCTTCCTAATGCTATACTCAGCTATGTCATTCCACTCCCCGTCATCTGACCAATCTGAGTCATCATGGTGGACAGTAAGTTCAAAAATTTCATCCTGCACTGGGGCGCTATAAGCTGAATTGAATGTTTGTTCAGGATCTTCAATGGTCAAAGAGGAATCCTCGAGTTCATTTGGTTTAATAGGTGGTTGGCAAGGGTTAGACATTTTGAAAATCTGAGCAAGACTTGCATCAACACATATTTGTCCCAAATGAATCTCCCTAGAAATCTCAGTTAAAATCTGAACCGATGCATTCAAAAGTTCTTCACAATCTTTTGTCTGGCCATTGTGTGCATTCTCCAGGATTTCCTGTAATCCTTGAGTTTGAATGAGAAGAGATTGGAAATGTACACATGCACTTCTAACTGACACGTAAATGTCTGAGTAGTCCCATGAAGAGGATGTGTGTGCTCTCAATTGGCTTCCCTTGTTCTTTGATTCAATGACTGCTCTATAAAGCTTCTGCTCTTGAAGGAGGGATTTGTGAACATCAGAACTCCATGTGATTATTTCTGGCAGCACATTTTGACAATACAACAAAATTCTATGTGATGTATTTGGATCCCATAAATCTGGACAGTGGTATAATGCAAATCCTCTTAAAAATTCTGACTGAACAAGAATATATGAGTTGAATAATTTCTGAAAATAAATTTAGGACAATTAAGTTGGATGGTTTATAAAATCATAGTTATGGTTTAAAATAAAATAGGAAATAGCGTTGAGGACCAGAATCTTACCTTGAGGTTTTCAAATGAGTTGCTTTCCTCATCACCAAAGTTTAAACCGTTACGTATCATTTCTGAAGAGGGGGACCTCAAGGTTGCATTAATTTCTATTGACAATGGAATTTTCTTGAGTTCATCAGAGAATCCCACTAAAACTTCAATTGCACCAAGGAGTGATTTTCTAAGTTTTCTCTTGAGTTCTAACATTTCATTTTGACCACTGAAACAAAGAGATATTCTTTAATTTTGGTTTAATGAACTGATGTTCAGACAGGGGTTACCAGAAGTAGGTACTTACAGGGAGATCTTCTGAGAAATAAACTCATTTTGATGAATTAACTGCAACATTCTCTTATATTGCACAAACAGTTTTTCCAAGCCAACTAATGTAAGCTGAATCTTTGAAGTTAGCAGTGAGAAGTATTTACGTTTCCGATTCTCTCTGATACGATAAGCAGCATAAAATGATCCAAGGGCTGCAGAAGCTACAAGCAGAACTTTGGACACAGGTGTCTGCGCTAGTCTCCAAAGTCCTCCTCCCAAGCAAAGTAGAGGGACACTGCAGAGTCTAATGTTGAATCTGTAAATAACAGGAAGATTATAATGGAAGTAAAATTTTAAACAACATATACTTTGTACATGTATTATTGAAAATTCTTACTTCGATTTTGAATATTCTTCTGTTTCAAGTGGGTAGTAATGTTCAAGAAAATTACGATGATCTTCCAGGATAAGTCCAGACTTTAGAAAGCAATTTAAGTTACTAGTAGTCCAATGAGGAGCCTTCTAAATGAGATATTAAAATAAGTATAAAGGAAATAGAAGATCCTGAACTGACAAGTATGGTTAAGATAAAATAGCTTACTGTGGGAATGCTCGATGAGTTGAATGATTTATCCACTCTGAGTGGAAACTTCATGGTACTTTGATTTTTATACTCATAAGACTCGAAGTTTGAAAACCCATTGTCTTGTAAATAATTGTAAAGAACGGATCCCTGACAAAAAGGGTAAATGAAAATCATGAAAATATTAAAACAGTAACAGAGCTAAAAAAGTTAATATGACACTGACAATACCTTGCGCAAAACTTCCTCATCTTCTGACATTTTGGGCTGATCACGTCTAAAATATTATAATAAATTACAGATAGATAAATTAAGTCATAGGCAGAAGTACAATGTAGTTGGAAAGCTAGTACGAGAGAACTATAAACCATGCAAGAGAGAGAGGTTAGCTGACTCTGAACACATCATTCTTAATTTTTAAGACGGGTTGCAAGTTTGACAGAAGGGACCGATGCATTTCTTTCTACATTCGTAAATAAGTGCCAGAAATCAACTGAGCCAAACTAAACTGTCAATATTCATTCATCCATTTAAGCATTTCTTCCTTAAGGATTCTGGGTGTCAAGTTGTTTGTTTGGTTTAGGTTTAAAAGCACTTTGTGGGAGGAGGAGGAGGAAGGCGGGAAGGCAGGGGGGGGGGGCAACAAGGAGGGAGAAAGGGGAAGGGGCACACATTATACCAACATATGCGCTCAAAATTGTTCTAATTTATTTATTTTTGGTTACAATTTACATTATAAAATGAAAATAAAATTATGAACTGCTGAAAAATAATAATTATGCTAGCTCTGATTCTGAACAACAAAAGATGGTTCGACTGTTTTTGACTTCCGTGGCCTGTGTAAAGTTTGTTACCATGTAAAGACAGATGAAAACCGATGGGCAGTTTGAAAAATTCGAAAATTTGATCGGGCATTTGTGCTTGTGCTTGTGCTTGTGCTTGCTTGAGGTGGTTTGAGGGACGTTTGAAGATTTTTGCATCATCACACACACCACAAACTGAAACTCCGAGGCGAGGCGCAATTCAACGAAAGCAAACAAATTAGCACGCAAGTGCTAACCATCTTTGGCTTAAATAATAACAAGGAAAGAGACGAGGTTTGTGGCTCTGTTTATCTTCCTATTTTTTAAATTTTCTTTTCTATATTAATTTTGCTTGGTTTATGCCAAATGCTCTGCTTATTTCTCTTTTAATCTATATTCTCTTAGGATACTAATTTGAAAGGCCTAAGTTTTTATTGATAATTTTCATTTGTTATTTCCTGAAATGTGTTGTTGACGGTGGATGTTGACTAGTTGCCACTGTGACAGTTATTCCAGGTGTTGCAAATTTGAGTAATGGAAAGGGTTTTTCATTTCATTTCCTTAAGTGTCTTTTAACGATGATTTGTATTTTACTAGAATGGGAGAGCCTGGACCCTCCCGGATACCGTCTAAGCTGCCACTGCCACCTCAACGGAAGGTCAATGGTATCCCTCGCCCCAAACCTGGCCCAGTATCCACACTGCAGTCTAAAAGAAGTATTTCTTGGCCAAAACTTACACATATTATTTACGTTTTAGAGAGAGTGGCCTGTTACAACTTCAGCTGGTTGATTGTTTTCTAGTTACTCGACGGTCAATGAGCGTTCCTGACCTTCGTCAGATGGGTGCAGCACCAACTAACCAAAAACAACCAGCTACCCGAGCTCCAACGCAGCGCACAGTTCAACCAGTAAATAGGAAGAGACCAGCCGTGACTGCCACAGCTGCCCCTGTGGCTAAAAAACCATTGGTCCAGTCAGAATCAAACAAATGTAAGTGCCACATCAAGTGCTGTAACTGGAATTCTTTTGAACCTGTCACTTTATTTTTGTTAAAATATTGTCATCCTATTACAGCCTCTGCCAAACCTGCTTCTGTCAATAAAGCACCTCCAGTGGCAGCGGGAAAACGTCAGTTGAGATTTTCAAGTTTGTATTCACATTTTAAGTTTTGAAGTGAAGCCTTTGTAATTATGTTTATGTCTTTGAACTTTAGGAAAGATTGCTCCCTGGGATACCAAAGGGCAATTAGATTTAGCAAATAACAAAATTGAACGGCTACTGCAAGATAAAGAAAATTTAGAAGCTTTAACACATGATGCCCAGGCTGTAAAGGATCAGTTAGATGCTTGCCTTAAAGAGCAGGCATTGCTCTCAAGCAGACTTGAGTAAGTTATTGTATTGATTCCATTGTATTCATCTATGGTTTCCTCTCAAATTTTGTAGAGAATTTTAACCACTGACTTTTTGTATATTTTTGGATTAAAGGGAAGCGCAGCAAAAAAGGAAAGAAACTGAAATGCATCTCATAGAAGCACAAAACCAGTGTGACAGTCTGATTGCAGACAAGAGTGCGTTGGCTTCCAAAATTGAATTGTTGAAGTCACAGCTTACTGCAGAAAAAGTAATGAATAATTTGGGTAGGAGATAATGTTCTCAACAGGACTTTAGTGTCAACCGCTATATGTCAGAAATTTCTACTTTCAGAGGAAGAATGAACAGTTGGGAGAAGAGATACAGAAAGTTGAATGTAGCAGAGATGAGCTTATATCTGTGTCTTCTCAACTACGGAAGGATTTTGAAAAAGAAAAGAGTAGTAATCTTGAGCTTTGCTCTAAACTTGAGCTTACAGAAACAAAAGTGAAATCTCTGACAGAAGAAGTTCTTGAACTTCAAGAATTAAGAAGACAAATGCATAATCAAATATTGGACTTAAAAGTGGGGATTTTGGAGACATTTTTGTGAAATTGTGAGTTTTGCAAACATTACAATATCCTAAACCTTATTATTTTTATACAGGGCAATATCAGGGTTTTCTGCAGAGTCAGACCACCATTGGAAACGGAGTCAGGCAGGGCCATTGCAAGCTTTAATTTCTCTGATGAAGCTTCGCTAGAAATCAAGAGCTCTCAAGGTACGTTCAGGATTTTTAAATTGTTGTCTTATTGATTGTTTGTACTCCTATTCGCTCTCCTTCAATATTAGAGTGCTATTTTGCTGTTTCATATAGTAGTTTTGTATATCTTTTTATCTATCTCTCTACCTATTTATTTTAACAGATCCGGGATCAGCCAAGAGTTCCCAAAAGACAAAGTCTGATTCATTCACTTTTGACAAGGTGTTTTCACCCAATAATAGCCAAGATGATATATACTTAGAATTATCCCAACTTGTGCAAGTAAGGAACCATCAATTTTATTTCTAGAAACTTCTCAGAAGTTACTTCTGTGCAATATTCATTCTTTTATGTATTTGAATGATTATTCCAGTCGGCCCTTGATGGTTACAATGTTTGTGTATTTGCCTACGGCCAAACTGGCTCAGGGAAAACATACACAATGGAAGGTGGAGATACCCAAGAAACTCAGGGAATGATTCCACGTGCCATTCAGACAATATTTTCTGCAATCGACAAACAAAAACAAATGGCAAGAACCAAAACAAATTTTCTACTCAACAGTTTTGTAGATAATGACTTTGTTTAATTTTTCTGTTTTTGTTTTACTTTTTATCTAGGGATGGCAGTTTTCCGTCAAATGTTCATTCCTTGAGATTTACAATGAGGTGATTAGGGACTTATTAAACCCCAAATCTAATTTGCCCTACGAAATTAAAATGGTTGGCAGTGATGATGTTATGGTGACAAACCTTAAGGTGAATTTACTTTACCGTATCTACCTAGTTATTGATCTATACTTGATGCCGTTGAGGTACCTGTTTCAATATTACTTTTACCCATTAAGGTTGAAGAAGTGCAATCTGCAGAAGGCTTGATGGATCTGTTAAGCAAAGCACAAAAGAGTAGATTCGTTGCAGCTACGGTAATGAATCACCAGTCATCTCGATCTCATTCCATTGCACAGATAAGAGTGGAATCATCACACGCAGGTCGAAACATCCAGTGCCAGGGTAAATAACAACTAACCTTATAATTATCATCTTAACATCTGTTACTTTTTGTCACTAAATGTTGATGTTGCTTCAGGAACACTCAATCTCATAGATCTGGCAGGTTCTGAAAGATACAACAGTGACAATCTAACCGACAGGAAAAAAGAGACCTGCAATATTAATAAATCATTAGCTTGCTTAACATTAGTCATTATGCATTTAGTTGAGAAGGTTTGTACTGTCATATTTATTTTAATTCCCAAATAGATCATTGAAGTTTTCCCATTTTAGACCTAATTTTTGTTTTGTTTTCAGAGTGGACATGTACCTTTCCGCGATTCAAAACTGACTCATTTGCTTATGCCCTCATTAAAGGGAAACTCAAAGACTTTAATGTTAGTTAACCTTGCTCCACTCGAGGACTGTTACCAAGAGACATTGAGTTCGCTTAAATTTGCCACCAGAGTATCTGCTGTTGAGCTGTCAGCAAGACGCCAAATCAAGTCTAGAATGGCCATGAAATCAAAGTGATATCCACTTTCAGTTAGTGTCATCTAGTTCTACTTTCATTATTGGATTGAGTACCATTTGTACCAATAGTTTTTATGAGTTTGACTTCTCAAAGAATACTTTTTATTTTATCCTATTAGATAAGTCTAGAATTGGTGTTAAGACAAAACGATATTCACTTCCTGGTAGTGTCATCTGATTTTTCAAAGAATATGTTCTAAACATCCTAGAATGGCTATTGATACAAAATGATGATCTTTTCCTGTTAGTGTCATCTAGTTCTATTTTCATTAATGCATTGTGTATAGTTTGTATTATTAATTTTTACAAGATTGACTATTTAAAGAATATATCCATTGTGTAGTTGGCACCAATAATTTTTACAAGATTGATTGATTGTTCAAAGAATATATTTTTCTGGTCAAAGCCTTTCAATCTCTCTCCTTAATTAACAAACCATATACTCAGTTTAAAGATTAAAACAAAATTCAAGGTGATAGATCAGAACAGCTCTACATGCTATCTAAATACACTTCAATACGAACATTGTTGAAGCATACATTGCATTGCTAGTTGCACGTCAAATGAAAAATAGAAAAAGAGAGGGAGGGAGACTTTACAGAAAGATTGTGGAAAACCCTTTTAACCTTTGATTAGGAGCATGCGGTTTCAGTCCATCAGGGTGAGAAGCAGGTGTTAGGGGGCTACCATACTGTTGCCATAGTTCAATGGCTTTGTTGGCTATCATTTCAGCAGTTTCTTCAGTTATCTGTCGGAAAACAAAATCATTTCAACTCCTGACTTTGAATGTTATTCCTAATTTTAATATTAACATTTGAACTCACATCACATAAACATTCAACAACTGATTCTGCAGATTTCAACTGAATCAGACGTCTTTTCATGGTGGTCAATATCCTAATGGCTACAAATACGAGAATTTTGCATGATCCACCAACCAATTTATCCCAAATTCTGTAAGTAATTAATAGCCTTATTAGTCTTTAGTTGCACATGATGAACAGATTATTCCATGAATGACTCTCACTTGGCTAAGGCAGGATCCTTCAGAAGCCCAGCGAAGCATGAGCAATACCATGTGGTAAATGGAATCGCATCAAGAGCTTGAAGTTTTTCTAAATGGCTGTGGGGGAGGTAAAAAACAAAATGATATAAATTATACATGATAATTACTACCATGATCAATGTCAACAAGTGGAACTGAAAGGGCCTTGCACCTGTATAACTCTTGATCTTCCTTTTCCAAGCTTTTCAGTGTGGCACTCACAAGTACTTGCACACATGCATAAAATCTTACAACATACTGGAAAAATCCTTTAGATATCCAGAAAATGTCAACATCATTGTCAAACATGTTAAGTAAAGCTGATGAAATGAGAAGAAGATTTTGATAGGGAGGATCCTCCAGCTGAAAAATAGGAGATATATGCCTCAGCTGAGTGGCGTGTTTCTTTATTCTTGATTTCTTACAACAGCTATTTTGTGATGAGAACATAACTTTGTTATCAGGTTCATGACCTGTGTGAATGGAACTGGTAAATACCAGTTTGAGGAATGAAGTTCCCCTAGTTCAACAAAGATCAGAGATCATGACCCTTACAAAATAACCAGTTATATCTGGTTCTTGTACTGTCCTCCTTCCCCTCTGATCCCTTATCTTATCTTCTCTTCTGGTCCAGATGTCAGAAGAGCACCTCATCCAATCACAAGCTGCACAGCTGTACATTATGCTAGTGTCAAACCATCCCTATAAATGATGCTCTCATAGGCATGTTTAAGAACTAATTACTTAACTACAACAATCAATAACAACTATGCACTTCAATGGCAACAAAAAAGAAAATATTAAATGCATTAGTTGAATTTTGTGGGATGAAGATAATATTACAATATTTGTGTATTAGTTTTTTCAATGGCGGATGTTCTTCTTTATAAAAAAATAAATATGTGAGCTTGAAAATTAATTAACATACCTGAGCTCTCCAATCCAGTTTAAGATTTCCAGTCCTCAAAAGCCACATTATCAGAAAAATGTGATGCTTTGGAAGATCTTCTGTTACAATCTGCATTGACTGTAAAGCTCTCAACAAGTCATTATATTCTTGGGTTCTTTGATCCATTATAAAAGTATGGCTTTCTACATGTGGTGACATCACTCCTGGAAATCAAATGGGGTTTAGTAATTTTAAAATAGGGACGAATTTTGTCGGCAAGCTAGCTTACAAAATACAGTACTATTTCCACAGCAAACAATAACTTGTCTTAATAAATAATGATTCAGAAAGTAGCTTGTAGCTTGTCGCAAAACCAAAATAACTGAAAATGTTGGATCAAGGGAACAAATATGCTTGACACGCAATAATTCGACTGAAACGGGATATGACATTGAACATACAATAATTCTTGTTCGTGAATGTCAAGTTCTGAGGATTCACAATGTTCATTTTACAAGGGTTTACAAAAAGCACCAACGGAAACCTAACCTCAAATTAATGTCTGGTCAGATTATGTTAAACAAGTATTTTAAAATGGAGATACTTATGATAGCATACGCACCTAAAAGCAGCTTCCACATTAAGTTTCTATACATTTGAGGAACGGTGAAGCGTAAACTAAACTGTTTTAACTTTGATATGTCTAATGGTTTTTCCTTTAATAGGATTTCTATTGATTTCTTTTCTTCGACACTTCTGAATCCCACTTTTTCATAATAAGATGATCGAAAATTCCTTGTTTCTTCAGTTGACATTTTTAACGAGTTTCACTATTTAGATTTGTTTTGTGAACTTGTTTGCGCATTGTATCGGCGCCAGCGCCAGTCTGCTTTCCTTCAGTCTCAGTAGTCTGCTTCTGCTTTGTCCCGGATGGAGGGGGAGGTAAGGGGCAGAGGGGGGAGGGGAGGCAGGATCAGCTGTTTTAGGCTGGGAAGTGTGAAACAACTCCCATGTCTTGTATATTGAGGATTATAGAGGAATAGATTCCTTACAATTATTTATAAGAAAGACTCACAAACAGAAAAACATATTTCCATCCGAATTATTTACTCTTTCACACGCACACGACGAAGGACTTCCCTAAATGGAAGCTTTCGGTCTCAGCAGGCGCGGTTTGAGGGGGGGGGGGAGATCTCCCACCCCTACCTGTCGGCCCAAATCGCCCCCTTTAGGATAGATGGGCAATTTGTCCTACAAAACCCCCGAAAATAGGCAACCCACAGTAAATCGTCCCCTCCCTGTCGGACGGATTTAAAACAGCGCTAGGGTGGTCCACCCGAGGCCCCTACTCCACCATCATCCCACCACGCCTTGCGCGACGACTCCAACGCGGGTCGCGACAACATCATCATAATGATCAAACGAGGCTCGATAACAATTACGTCGCGCCGCCCGTCATCCTATCTATTTTTACCATTTCTCCCCCTTTCTCTTTTCTCCTCGCGCGGGTTGGACCTTTCCTCTGCGACGTCAGAGTAGAGAGATAGCGCGTGGCCACATAGCAGCGGCCGGGAAAGAAATAAAGAAAAAGAATATTGAAAAGAGGAGCGTATAAAGGGGAGGATCGACCCAGAACAGGTTCAGAATCCCTTGGGCCCCCGCGCCGGTCCCGCCGCCCCGCCCCGCCCCACTCCGTCCCGAGTCGCCGGCTCCACTCGCCGGGCCTGCACAGCACATAGCACCGGCACCTCAGACTCTGCGCTCCCGCCCCGCCTTCAGTCGACGCACGAACCCAGCGGCAGCGACAGGAGCTTCTTCGAGCGACGCTACGGTCTTTGGTGGCCGACTTGACTTCCCCGCCGGCATCATGGTGGTCGCCTCTAACGTGAGTAGCTGGAGTGGGACGACGATGTCTGCCCTCCTCAACGCCCGTGTGGGCAAGAGGATGCTGGAGAGCGAGGCGTCTTGTCTTACATTTATCGTATAAATAAGTTTGCACGATATTCACCTCCACACCCGCCTGAGTAGGGAATGGCGGTGTTTTCTGAAATGAAATGATGGGAGCGTTTTTCTCGGTCTCGTTACTCTTCCTCGATGCCGCCCGCCCTCCCCGCTCCTCCTCTTGCCCAGCTGCTCAAGCCGGTCCCACAACTTTACAGGGGCGTAGGCAGGAGGGAGGGGAATGACTCGGAGGAGGAAGTGCGTCCAGTGCACCGGCGCGGGGCGGGGGGGGGGGGGGGGGGCACTTTCTCTCACTGCACCCGTCTATGGGACGGTCGATGCACTCGAGGGGCTCAGGGGACGGATCCGGAGTAGAGGACAAGATGGGCGGTAGGGTAGTTCAGAGGGCGAAAAAAAGGGGGGGGGGTTGCATGAGGCGGGCGAACTCCCTTGTGCGAGTGACCTGGCGAAGAGGGAAGTCCGCCCCGCCGCTCACCACGGACGACTCTCTCAAAGAAGGGCAGGGAAAGGGATCATCCACAATAGTACAGTACAGTACGTACATCCGTTGTTCGCCTTTGCGAGCCTGCCGTGTTCAGCCGAAGCAAGTTCGCAAAGAAAGCGCTTGTTGGGTAGGCAACATCATGTCTGCAGTGCAGACGTGTGCTGCGGGGTGGCCTTCCCGAGTCTCTCAGGCGCCAAGCTCACGAATATGGATCAGAGAAAAACGGACTTGCTCTCTGGACGATCCCTATATGCGTCTGTGCCGCCGAGTCAGGGCTAAGAACCGCGCCTTTGTGTTGCTAGTTGCTAGTTTGATTAAACTAGCGATTCGCTGACGGTCTCGACCTCCTCTTTGACGCAGGGTGTGGCCAAGGGCCAGAAGCTGCGCGTCGCCATTATCGGTCAGAGCCCCTTCGCGGCCGAGGTGTACAAGCTGATCAAGAAGGACGGGCACCATGTGGTGGGCGTGTTCACCGTCCCGGACAACGGCAACCGGGAGGACCCCGCCGGTGAGGATGACGGCACACGGGCCCAGGGCGTGACCGTGTACACGACAGCAGAGAGATGTTTGACTAATCGACTGTCACCCCCACAGCATCGGTGGCCGCGGCCGACGGCACGCCCGTGTTCAAGATCAAGGCGTGGCGTCAGAAAGGCGTCGCCATCCCCGAGGTGCTGGAGCAGTACAAGTCCGTGGGCGCGGACCTGAACGTGCTGCCCTTCTGCACCCAGTTCATCCCGATGGACGTCATCAACTACCCCAAGCACAAGAGCATCTGCTACCACCCCTCCCTCCTGCCCAGGCACAGGGGCGTCAGCTCCATCAGCTGGTAAGTTCTAGTCGCCACAACGGCAGACAGGGGGGTGGGGGAAGGAGAACGTGGTTCAGATTGTCCCATCTCGATCCCATGCGACACTGGCCAACTTCCCCCCTACATCCTCTACGCCTCCGACTCATCGTATCGAGCAAAGCAGGGCAACCGCTTATCAAATCAAATACGAGTCTCCGACACACATCCACCTCGCGTCGCGGCCGAACCGCGCGCCCCGCCCCCGACCGGGACGAATGCCCTCATGTGCCCATGTGTCCACTCCGTGGTCGGTCATGTGACATAACGCAGCCTGGGATGGGCCCCTCGGCCCCTACCCCTCTCGCGGGCCGGCCAACCCCCTTCCTCCAACCTCCTGAACCCCCACCCCCTCCTCTTACCTTATCTGCACGCGCGCGCACACCATAGCAAAAAATAAAACCAATAGCATACAAGCCGTGAGCTTTTTTCACACATTTTTATCAGAGTTGTTTTTTGAACTATTTTGTTGTGTGTGTGTTTGTCCTGAAATAAAATGTTCATGCGGTAAAACCAAAGCTCACGGGCACGGCTTGATCTCTCTGTGCGGTCCAAGTCACTCCGCCCACTCCGTCGAATCGCGTCCAAGTGTCCCTGGGTCACCCTCCTAGTCGCCATTTCCCCTCTATCAAATGTGATAAAATAGCCCAAGGACGGATCCGATGACAAACAACGCGAGGCCCGCCCCCGCGCGCTATGCTCTCTCCGAGAGAAAGTTTCACCCACGCCGGTAAACTGTGACCCCCCGAGCGGTGAACTCTGATAACAGCCGTTGTTTTTTGACCCCGCCTCACCAGGACGCTGATAGAAGGCGACACGGAGACGGGCTTCACCATCTTCTGGGCCGACGACGGCCTGGACACCGGCCCGATCCTGCTGCAGCGCAAGTGCGCCGTCGAGCCCAACGACACGGTGGACTCGCTGTACAACAAGTTCATGTACCCGGAGGGCATCCGCGCCATGGCGCAGGCCGTCAACATGGTCGCGGACGGCACGGCCCCGGCCCTGGAGCAGCCCGAGGAGGGCGCGTCGTACGACCCGGCGCTCAAGAAGAAGGAGCTCACCTTTGTGAGTGGATGCATGGTGTCGCTTTTCACCCTTCAGGGTGGTCTCAACCAGCACAGGTCGCACTAACCGAAGCTTTGTACATACAGGTCAAGTGGGACCAGCCCGCCAAGAAGATCCACGACTTCATCCGCGGCCTCGACAGCTCCCCGGGTGCACTTGCCCTCCTGAACGGCGAGGAGGTGAAGCTGTTCGGGTCCTCGCTGTGGACTGGGTCCACGCCCTCCGAAGCCGATGAGGTGGCCATTGAGGGACTGGAGGCCCCAGGGTTGGTGCACGCCGGGGGTCTGCTGCTGCAGGGCAGCGACGGCAAGCGACTCAACGTAGAGCGGCTGCACGTTAACGGGCGCATGATGCCCGCCAACCGCTACGGCAAGGCCGCCGAGAAGAGGGTCGCCGTCGAGATGACCCCCGAGGAGAAGGAGATGCTGCCAGTGCTGCGCGACATCTGGACCGGCATCCTCCGCATCGACGTCGACGACGACACCGACTTCTTTGGCTCCGGCGCCGGCTCCATGGACGTGGTTCGACTCATCGAGGAGGTGAAGGATCGCTTCAACTTCGAGATGCAGAACGAGGACGTGTTCCTCGCGACCACCTTCGTCGAGTTCGGCGAGGCCGTGGTGCTCAAGTCGCGCGGCGGCTCCGCTTCCAAGGAGGTCGAATACGACCCCGTGGTCATGCACGTCAACAACATGGACATCAAGTTCCCCAAACAGCTCTTCATCGACGGCAAGTTCATCGACGCTGAAGGCGGCCGGACCATCGACAGCATCAACCCCGCCGACGAGAGCGTCATCTGCAAGGTAAGTCTGCCGCCCGGAGGGTAGGCCGCCCCGCGGTGCACCCATGCTCTGGGCGCGGTGGCGTTGCCTACCCACCAGGCGCTAAGCCGAGCCCACCCCTCCGGCCCCGCAGGTGCAGCGAGCCACGCCCGGCGACGTGGACCGCGCCGTGCAGGCCGCCAAGCGCGCCTTCGACGAGGGCGAGTGGTCCAAGATGTCGGCCCGCGACCGGAGCCGCCTGCTGTTCCGACTCGCGGATCTGATGGAGGAGCACAAGCAGGAGCTGGCGACCATCGAGGCCATCGACTCGGGCGCCGTCTACACGCTCGCCCTCAAGACGCACGTCGGCATGTCCATCGACGTGTGGAGGTACTTCGCCGGCTGGTGCGACAAGATCACGGGCAGCACGATCCCCATCAGCCACGCCCGGCCCAACAGGAACCTCACCTTCACCAAGAAGGAGCCCATCGGGTGAGTGCCTCTCCCTTCCCTCCCCACCTGCATGTGCCCCGCCCAAGGGAAGTTCGCGCGCTCACTCCCTCCCTTCGCTCCTCCAGGGTGTGCGGTCTCATCACGCCGTGGAACTACCCGCTCATGATGTTGTCGTGGAAGATGGCGGCCTGCCTGGCCGCCGGCAACACCGTGGTCATGAAGCCCGCGCAGGTGTCGCCGCTCACCGCCCTCAAGTTCGCCGAGCTCTCCGTCAAGGCCGGCATCCCCCCGGGCGTCATCAACATCGTCCCGGGAAGCGGTGAGTTGGTAGTAAAAGTAAAGGCGGGCAAAGGCGGAAGAAAGACGGAAAAGGGACGTGTTCTCACTGAGTGTTTCCTGCCACAGGCTCCGAGGCTGGCAACGCCATCGCCTCGCACCCCCTGGTGCGCAAGCTCGGCTTCACCGGCAGCACGGAGATCGGTCAGACCATCATGGAGACCTGCGCAAACTCCAACATCAAGAAGTGCTCTCTCGAGCTCGGCGGCAAGTCGCCCCTCGTCATCTTCGACGACTGTGACCTGGAGCGTGCCGTGAGGAATGTAAGTCGCGAGTTTGTGGAGCCTCTTTGTGAAAAAAGGCAATAATTGTGCGAGGCGCAATTCCTCATCAGTTATTTATCCTCTGCAGGCCATGGGCGGCGTGTTCTTCAACAAGGGAGAGAACTGCATCGCAGCGGGCCGGATCTTCGTCCAGGACACGGTCCACGACAAGTTCGTCGAGAGGGTGATCGAGGAGACCAAGAAGATTGTGATTGGCGACCCGCTGAACCGGAGCACGAGCCACGGCCCCCAGAACCACAGGGCGCACCTCGACAAGCTCGTCAGCTACGTGCAACGGGGCGTCAAGGAGGGCGCCACCCTCCGCTACGGCGGCAAGCAGCTCGACCGACCCGGGCTTTTCTTCGAGCCCACCGTCCTCACCGACGTCGAGGACCACATGTACGTCGCGAAGGAGGAGTCTTTCGGACCCATCATGATCATCTCAAAGTTCAGCGGCAAGTGAGTACCACCACCCTTCCAGAAATGCCATTCCTCTCCTGTTGGTTACTATCCTCGGACGGAAGTCTTCATCTAAGTCTCTCCGCCTTTCTTTCAGCGACCTGGACGCCGTCATCAAACGCGCCAACAGCACCGAATTCGGCCTCGCGTCGGGTGTGTTCACACGCGACATCAACCGGGCCATGGCCTTCGCGGAAAAGATAGAGGCTGGCACCGTGTTCATCAACACCTACAACAAGACCGATGTTGCCGCGCCCTTCGGTGGCTTCAAGCAATCGGGCTTTGGAAAGGATCTCGGTGAGTGCAATTCCGGTGCACACAAATGAAGAAGGATACCTAATATTGTCATGTTTATTAATTCCATGTATCTTCCTTCGTTTACAGGAGAAGAGGCGCTGAATGAATACCTGAAGACGAAATGCGTCACCTTGGAGTATTAAACTTCGCCCTTAGTATTTCTTTTTTCCCGTCGGGCTAATAAGTGTTTGCGACACTCGACTGATCTCTTGCAACGTTATTGTAAGGTACTTTGGGGACTAGGAACCCCCGCACTTGCTTCGTGGGGTAAAACAGTCTGATCAGTTCCATCAACGACCTCCTCTCGATAGAGCTTCATTAATCATCATAAATATCATGTTTTCATCTCTGCCATAATACGCCCTACATACGCCATAAAAGTTTTTGTAAATATCTTTTGTAAATAAACGACGTCATTATTTTTAATCTCGCGTATCTCCTCTTCCTTGACCTCAATGCGCCTGCTTGAACTGCTTGAGCTTCCGCACGGCGGTGATGGCCGGCACGTGGTCGGCGAGGGCCGGCGTGGAGGTGACGGACCGCGGGGGCGGCGGCCCGGCGGCGGGAGGCTCTGCTACCCGGGAGCGCCGCCGGCCCAGGCTCTCTAGCGTGTCGCGCCTCTCCCATTCCTGCAATAGAGGCCAGTCAGATAAACTTTTTGAGGAACAAAAGGAAACTAGTCTAGAGATGCCGGAAAAGGGGAAAAGGTGCAGTACAAACGAAAAATCAGGGAAAATAACGAAAATTTTGAAACAAGCCCCTTATTTTGAAGGAAACTTTTTTTTTCGGAAAACTTTAACTTTTTGGGAAAATGAAAAGAAAATGAAGGGAACTCTTTTTTGGTGACTTCCTGCTCGCCCACTACCCTTTCACCCCTCCCCGCAACCTCGCGCCGGATGGCGTGGATCACTTGATTCAATTTCCGCGGCGCGTGCGCCCAGAGCGTGGAAGTTAGTTTGCCGTTGTCGGTAATTACCCTGATGGGGCACGACTGCAGCCACCTGTTGCACTTCTCCCTCGCGGCCTCGCGGACCCGCCACGGGATGGGCTCCTGGTCGAGCCAGTGCGGCTTGTCCTGCGAATTTATTTCATTTTTGTTTGTTTTTTGACAAAGAGGCTTATATTATGAGCTCTCACTACCGGTTCGCAGGGGGTGAGAT